TGTTTTTGTGTCGACACAGTTTCATTCATGTTTTCATTTTGATGAAGTCTTATAAGCACCGATTAAGAACTAAACATTAATAAACTTCTTCATTTATGGTTCTAATGTAATCAAGTCATCTGAAATTGTGAACAGCACCTTGTCCTCATATCTAAGAAATCTTCCATCCCTAAATCTTTGCTTGCTATAAAATGAAATTAATATTGAGGTATTAAATTTTTAGTATGCAAAGTGAAAGGAGCTTCTTGAATAGGCTGTAATGTATGGAATTTGAGTGGTGGGCTTTGTCAAATTTTCATTGTAGTTCATTATTTCTTGGTGTGGTTGAAATTTAAGATTGAATAAAGATTTACTGTTGCATTGCCTATAGTAAATTTTGAAAGTAGGGTAGATTCATCTAACATAAAAATTGGTCTAGTTTGGAAGAGCTGTTGACACTTCTTGAATAGGCTGTAATGTATGGAATTTGAGTGGTGGGCTTTGTCAACATAAAAATTGGTCTAGTTTGGAAGAGCTGTTGACACTTCACAGGTTCCCTACATGAAACCAGTGAATTTGCACATAAATTGTGTTCTAGGTATACAGTTGTTGCTTTTGCTGGATCTTTAAATTCATTTCTATCCCATCATAATAATACGCATCCCCTCAGCATGCTTCAAGAGTGCTAATCACTACTCACCAGCACATAATGTTCTTTTGTTATACTCTTTTCTATACCCTGCAACAGTGTCCCTTAATTCTCAGGTGAATAGGGGAATGAATTTCTATGGATGGGAGGTATTATAAAAGTCTACTTGTTTAACTTACTTGATTAACATCTAAACTTTGGGAAGGTGGTTGCCTTGTGCTGTGTAATCTATAAGCCATCTTGATATTTGGTTGCTTCTTACATATTACTCAATGCCTTAGAACCGTCTAGTGCAGAGCATAATTGCTATAGCTTAGCCTCTTGCTGCTCGTAAGATTAACCTTTTGGGTATAATCCTTGTCAATGCACCTGCACTCCTGCAGTTCCCCCTCCCTACCCCACATCCTGTTGGCTAGATGGATGATCATACATTTTACGTGGTGTCCATTGAGTTAACTTCGTTTCATGAAAACGTGCAGTAAACGGATATTTTAGCTAGTTGTGTACAGTATGATTTATGTATGAATATAGGTATATATTGATTGCAGAAACAAAGAATATTTTGCTCATCTCGCATTTTGGTTTTACATTACAGGGAAAGAGCTGCAGCGCGTTAAGGCTCTGAATGTGCTGGGAAAATCGTTGAAGACTTCCAATGGGACACAGAGTTGACAGTATGTATATGGTACTGCAATTATTCATCAATCATTGTTTCAGGCTCCTGAGTTCCACCACGAGAATGTGTTGCTAAAGGTGGTGTTGTCTCATTATCACCTGTAAGTTTGTATCGTCTAACAACTAATATGTAGTGTAATAATCTTCATTATCATTTGTTTAAATTAGTCCTCAAACTTAGAAAATGTTCAAGAGCTTGAATGAAAGACCCATATACTGCACGCAGTATTATCTAAATGCAATGGTCCTTCGTTTGCATGTCCTGCTTTGCTTCCACTTTTGTCTCATTTACTTGTTTGCTTTCCCTTTTTTTGCTTCTTGGCTTAAATCTGTGTTTCAATGGTAGGAAAATCATTTTCCAAAAACGGCTTTCTTATTTTCCTCCGTTTGGTTTGTAATAGAAGAAAATAAAAATAATGTCTTATATCCTCCTATACCCTCACCTTTGTCTCCTCTCCTCACCATTTCTCTCGAACTCTTCTAGACCTACCAAAATTTAAAATAATAATGGCTCCTTTGAAATTAGATTTACGTCAAAATAATTGCTACAGTAATAGTTTAGAATATGATCAAACAAGTTCATCAACTTTACAAGTCAATTAACAAATGAAATCATGAAGAAGTCTTATTTTTTTTTTTTTAAAAAAAGTTTGTAGTTCAAAAAAGTTGTAAATATATATATTTATAAAAGAATGGAAAACATTTTTGAAAATTAAATATGTTACTTTTTTTTTTAATAAAGAAAATTATCCAAAAAAATAAAATAAAGAACGGTAAAAAAAAATAATAATAAAAACAGAAAGCACCTAACTCTTCGAAAAAAACTGAAGTAACTGTAAAATGGATAGAGGCAAATAACCGTCATCTCCCACTTCCTTCCCCTACAAAACCCACTCTTCCCCCCCACTTCCAACCTTTTTCCACTCTTCTTCTCTTCATACACCCCCTATTTTTTTTATTGTTTTTTTTTACCATCAAACTTCCTTTTTTTTTCAGTTTTTTTCCGACAACTTTTCACTCCCTATTTTCCTTCCATGGATAACACTCCTCTTCCTCCACCACCATCCTTGCCACTACCGCCTCCGCAACCACAACCGACACCGATGCCGATACCTCTTTCATTGTTTCCTCCTACTCCAATTTCCTACGTCCACAATCACAAAGATTAACTCTTACCTTTTCCTCCCCCCACCACACCGACCTCCTCCTCCCCGACCGCCTCCTTACGTAAGAAACGCTGCTCTAAACTCCTCTGCATTGACACTTCCACCACCACAACACCGGCCAACAAAAAACCTGACTCCTCTGCCGCTGAGATCACACCACCATGCACGGAGTGTGGGAAAACCTTTTGGTCCTGGAAGGCTCTTTTCAGTCATATGCGATGCCACCCCGAACGTGAGTGGCGTGGCATTAACCCTCCGCCTCATCTTCGACGCCGTTCTCTTCCTCCAACGCCTCCTCCCACCCCTACTACAACCACTGATGACCATGAGGTCGCTGCTAGCCTTCTCTTACTCGCTGCTGGTCCTGTCTCCCCTGACGTGGCATTAGCCTCTTCGGCCAGGTTTGAGTGCTCGAGTTGTAAGAAGACATTGGGTCTCACCAAGCACTCGGCGGTCACCGTGCTAGCCATAAGAATGTCAAGGGATGCTTTGCCATTACCAAGAGTGCAACTGACGTTGAGGATGATCAATGTATGATCATGCAAAGTGGTTCAAGTCATGAGGAGGCAATTGGGCTGGGCCTTGCTTTGGGTTTGGGCCTTGGAGTGGGCCACAAGTGTGGTGTTTGTTTGAAGGTGTTTCCTACTGGACAGGCCTTGGGTGGGCACATGAGGTCCCACTGGGAGAAGAGTGAGGAGCCGGCATTGCGATCGTTGTTTGGGCTTCCACTTGGGTCAGATTTTAAGGCCCAATGAGGCCCAATGTGGTGTTGATCTCAACCTATCGGCCCAACTTCTAGAGGATGGTTCTTCTACTACTACTATTGATTCTTCCAATAACATGCAATTAGAGCTGAAGTTAGGAATATAAGGTATACAATTGATTAGGTTAATTAAAATTGTTGTAATACTAATTAATTGATGATTTATCACATATTTAAGTGTTAAAGACTAACTATTTATAGTGTGTGGTGTGGGTTTCATGAAAACATATGTATGCTCATTGTTTTAGGTGTAGGTTCATGTAATATCTCATTTAACACAACGCTTCATTCATCATAATATTATTACTTACTCTTATTACTACTCGTATAACTGTAAACTTTCTCTGTTATAAGGTTGCTGTTTCCGATGGCGATTACTATACTATTCCCATGTATAGAATCATCTGTTACATTTTTAGCTGTAAGTGTATATCTGAACTAGTAAGGTGACGATTAAATATAAGCAGAGATAGTATTGATTTTGATGTATTTTTTCTTAGTTACGATCATTAGTTTGGAATTCATGGATGATCAATACAATGAGCCCATGGACCTAAGGCCCATATAGCTTACCTGACCTAATCCATTTAGACTAAATACTTTTTTTTTTTTTTTTTTGACAACATTTAGACTAAACACTTATATAGCCTATAATCCAAAAAAATGTCCTTTTTTTTAAGGTATGTCTATGCAAAGTGTATTAATTAATAAATTGTAATAAAGTTAAAGTAATGTTTTGCATACGTCAGTAGGTATGTATTTGCTTAATTTTGATTTCCTTTTAATTATTCCTTAAAGCATGAGCAAGTGACCATTATTAATATTGCACTCCGTATTATTTATGAATTATGATATTGTGTCAAAAAAAAAAAAAAAAACTATTAGTTGGTGAGTTCCTAAATTTAGAAATATTATTAGTTTGAAAGTTACAGATCCAGTAATCAGGACCACTTCACCAACTCGTACTTCATATTTTTGTCATAATTTCTCATCATCAAGCTAATAGGGAACATTTATATATAATGTTCAGGAATTTTTTTTTTTTTAATTTTTTTTTGTAAGACTTTAATGCAATCATTAGTAATATCTATATGAGGTGATTGGACTATAGAGAAACACAAGTTTAAATGGTCCATATGGACAAAAATTTTCATATATTTACGACTAGTATATTATATTGACCTTTACGGAGTAATTAAGGCTTAATGATAGTCAGTTTGAAAAGGACATTTAACTAAACAGTTAGATCAATTTGACATGAAACCGCATGAAATTAGATGATTCTCATCGAACTTTAAGATGCTTTAACATGACTCAAGTCATTATAAACCACATCGGCCTACCAACAAAAGGAATTTTGTAAGGAAGTTTTATTGCTCGGTCGTTTATGGCCAGGTTTACCATATTGATCTTTCAACAAAATAGAGATTTATTAAAGAAAACAACAAAAGTATCGTATATAATTATATACGTAGTATATTTTTTGAGTTATACTACTACAGTGCATTGTGATGTGACTATTTATGTTGTTATTATTACTACAACTTCCATTCTTCTTTTTTTATTATTCTCCACTTAAAATAAAGAAAAGGTCATCATTTTTAAGAATAACAATAATTCAACTCCTCTTTATTTCTCATTTTTTTGAGGCTCAAATTCTTTCAATCTACCATGCATGAAAAAAGGTTGTATACTACGTTTTGACCTTCTCAAATCCCACCACTTGTAGGACTTTTTTTTTTTTTGAGGAAAAACAGTAGCTGTTATATTAAACGAGATCCAAATTTGCCAAAGTTACAACACTTTGAGGGAAAGAGTCTAAACGGATTAGTTCCGATTCACAACCCATTTCACCTCTAGCAACAAGATGGGCAACACTGTTCCCGTTTCTTTTAACATGAGAGAAAACACAAACATTAAATAAAACTCTGATCTTTAAAATGTCTGTAATCACCAAGCAGAGAGGAGTGATGCCGCCCCGGTTTGCTTCTACAGAATTAATCACTATGAGAGAGTCTGATTCAACCCAAAGACACCCAAAGTTGAACCGCAACGCCACATTCATGCCGAACCTTACCGCCCGTGCTTCGAGAGTTGCCACATCAGACGCCACCACTCTTTTCGTAGCTGTTAAGGCAATTGTGCCAGCCTCATCTCTAATCACCACCCCTAACCTAGCATTTCCGCCGCCTGCTACATGAGCATCCACATTTAGTTTAAACATTCCAGTAGGAGGGCAAACCCATCTCGTAGTAGATAGAGAGGAATTCACCACAGTTGTATGCTGCACTCTTTGTTTGTAAACAAAATGATCCTCAGACCACTTGCAGAAATTTGTAGCAAGCATCACAGCATTTGGGCTGGATTCTTCAAACATCGCCATATTTCTACACCGCCACGCAGCCCAACATAGAGTAGCAACCTTGGTCAATTCCTCCTTACCAATTCTTTCCCCCAACCAGAGCCACCTAGCAGCGAAAGAGTTCGTCGGTGCATCCTGCAATAGCATTCTACAATCACTATACTCCCATATATCTCTTACATTGGTGCAATCAAATAGCGCATGAATAGCCGACTCCTCTGCATTACTGCACAGCCTGCACGTTGCCCTTGAGAGATATGCCTTTGTTGAAGCCTTTCACCTACAGCCAAATTTCCTTTACAGGCACTCCATAGAAAGTGCTGGATTTTTGGGGGAAGCCTCGTTCGCCATATCAGTCTCCAGCAATTGTTTTGAGCCTGGTTTGTTGTACTCGTACTGCCAAGGGAGCGAGCTAGCCAATAACCAGATTTTACCGTGTAATACCCAGTTTTTGTGTAATACCAGTACCTTAAGTCAGGGCCCCTATATTGAGCATTCAGTATAGGCATCACATACTGCGCCTCGTAGCCCAATACCCTCTCCAATTGTTGACAATCCCAGGCAGTCCCCTCTTCATTTATAAGCTCGTGAACCCAAGACACACTCGGATTGTCTGCTGGACTCATTAAGCAACTGGGTTTCCCATTTCGGCTTATCCACTGGTCCTCCCAAATCTTTATGCTCCGGCCATCCCCAACTGTAATACCCCGTATTTTTATACGTATTTTAAATTTAAATAAGTATTTCTTGAAATATTTAAACAATACGAAATAAATTATTTAGGGTTTTCTCAAATACAAAAAGAATGATTTTAATTAAAAGTACATTTTTTATTATTTAATAATTTTGAAAATATTTTATTTCATGATTTAAAAATATTGGGGCACATTATTTTATAATAGGATAATTTTTAAAAGGTCAAAGCTTTAAAGAAAGTCAAATCCTAATTTGATTAGGAAAGGGATTATTAAGGGAAGTAAGTAGGAGGATTAAGAGAGAGGGTATAAATACCCCTTATGTGCCTAGGGTGAAGTTCACCCAAAGGTAAATTCTCTCTCCTCTTATTTTATTTTCCCCTTAATTTTCCCCTTTCCCTTTAATTAATTAATTTAATTTTTTTTTTTTTATTGTTTAACCACCATACACCACCACCACACACGCCGGCCACCACCACCAACCTTCGCCGGTGGCAGCAGCCACCAGGCAGCGTGGCAGCGGCGGCCAGGTGGTTGCGTGTTGCGTATTCTCCGTTCGTAATTTTCTTAATTGCGATGTAATCACGTTTAAATTCTAACTTGTCCGATTTTTACAAAAAAAATAGTGTTTTTCGTGTGTAAATGATATTCTAAACAAAAATCACTACCATATAGGTAGTGTGCACCACCCTTTCGTGGCCAAATTCAGCCTCTAAATATGGTTTTCTGGCAGTTTTTGATTTTAACGAAAGATTTATGTTGTTTTTCTTATTTTAATTAAATCTACCCTAAATCTAATTATTGTTTTTGGGTTTTGTGATGATTCTTAGGATGTTTAATAACAAGTATTTTAATTATAATTTTCAGATTTTAGTTTTTAATTAACAAGCCCCAAAATTGAAAACCCTAGGTTTTTTAATTAATGTTTATGGATGGAATTCGATTGTGGTTGATTGAAATTATTAAAATTAATGTTTTAAAACCAAATTACAGCAATTTTATAAGTTTTAATAATGCTGGAATTTTATATATAAGCCTAATTTAAGTTTCTCGAAAAGATCTTTAATTACCCATTTAATTGGGAATAAAGTAAGGGTTTTAAATAAAAATTCAGATTATTTTAAAGGGTTTTTGAGTGATTTAAAGAGAGTATATATTGCTGGAATTTTGTGTTAGAAAGGTATTAATACTCCTTTATAATTGTGTATTGTAGGAGACTTTAAGTTGAGTAATTTCTAGCATTGTGGCTAGTTGGAAAGATAATTTAAGGTACGTTCACGTGTAAAGTTTAAGTGTATAGAAGCATGCTAGGTTTTGTTTAATTAATTCCAAGTAGTATCATGATAGGTATTGGATGGAAATCGTGATTTGGATTGATGATGGTGTATGAATTGTGGTGTATGAATTAATTATGGTGATTTGGTGATTGTAATTAATTGTGTTGGAATGTTGATATTGAACCATACTTTTATTATTGGCATGTTAGAAAGCATGTTTGGTTAAACTGGATGTTGAATTTGGTTTGGATTATGGAAAATGAATTTTATTATGGTTCATATAATTTTTATTGATGCTATAAGCATGAGGAAAGAGCTATTTAAGTCTCTTAGTACACATGGATAAATTATATTGCGGTGCCTATGTGCACTTAAGGTGTTTCTAACACCGAGGGATAGGATTTGCGGTGCCTTATGCACTTAAGGTGTTATTTTAACACCGAGGTAGTTTAAAAATGATTCCACACTAAAGTTATGTGGTTACTAAATATTCAAGAATTAAACTAGTTTGTTTGATTGCTTGAATGAATTGTAATGTTTGGTAGTGTTGTGTTTGAGAGTCATCACCAAGTCTAATAATTTGTAAATCACGTAAAGTGAAAGAGATTACACACCAAAACTCTTGGAACGTATATACCTTGAGTATGAACATATGGGGGGGGTTATGGGGTTTTATATTTAACCATAACTCCACTAGGGGTACAGGACGCTGTACTTTCCATTTTTATTATTTATTATGCGCAGGATCCAGTCACTTCATGTGACATTTGCCTACCCGGTTAGCTCCCGGTGTAGTTTACCTCAATTTATTTGAGTCAGGTAGTTGGTTGGAAACCCGTTCGATGTGTAATCAAAATTAAATAAATATTAATTAGTAGTCGAGTCAAGTGATGAATGTTGTGTGCTTGTAAACAGGTACATCGAGGTAAGTTGTATGTTGATAGGATGAAAGCATGATAGTGTGTTCTTGTTACGCTTATGTACTCAGCTTTGCTGATTGTGTGTTTGTTTGGCCTTGTCTTTACCTTGGCCCTACGACGACCCATTTCTAATGGCGAGTAATGGGGACAAGTAGAGAGAAGCTTTTCAGGTGATGAAGCATAATCATGAAGGGGCATGAGTGAAGAGTGAATCATGCTTAGTTCTCATTAGAATATGATGTGTTTATTGCTTTAATTAATTATTTAATTATGTTGATTGTGAGATTAACGCAAAGAGGTTTTTAAGTGTTTTGGTTTAAGGGCCTACAATGGTTCCAAGTTGTAGGTTGACTTCGTTTGACTTTGTTTGACTTTTACTTTTGTTTGGTTTGACTTTTAAAGTTGACTTGATTTTTAAATAGTTTTAAAGGTAGTCTTCTGCTGTGTGTCTTTGATAATTGCCTTAGCCGTTTTCACGGTGGCGGTAATGTCTTAGATTCTCCTTTTTCCGTATTTTAAAAAGGGCAAAACAGGTATTTTAAAGGGAAGGAATTTCTAGGGTGTTACACTAACTCTCCACATTAGCCCATCACGCACCAGCCCCTTAGCACCCCAGAGACTTCTCCACGAATAACTGGGATCATAACCTCTGTTTGCTTGCATTATATCTGAGCTCTTGAAATATCGGGCCTTAAGGATTCTTCCCAGAAGAGTATTAGGATTTTGAAGCAATCTCCACACATTTTTTGCTAGTAAAGCCGTATTGAAGCATTTAAGGTCTCTAAACCCCAAACCCCCCATAGCTTTCGGCTTACATAAAGACTCCTAGTTGTTCCAGTGGATCTTCCTTCTATTGCCCTTCGAGCCCCACCAAAACTTACATAACATCGTATGAAACTCATCAATAACACCATCTGGAATTTTAAAGATGCTCATCATATAAGTTGGTATGTCTTGGGCCACTGCTTTAATGAGGACTTCTTTGCCAGGCTTTGAGAGTAACTTGTTATTCCACACATTTAAACTCTTCCATAATCTTTCCTTTAGTCTAGCAAAAATTTCTTTTTTTGATCTCCCAATAATAGTAGGCAGACCCAGGTACTTATTATGCTTCTCCACCTCCCTAACACCCAAGGTTCTAACAATTTCACCTCTTCGATCAACCGGCACACCTCTGCTAAAAGCAACTTCCGTCTTATCTAGATTTACTTTCTGGCCCAACGCTCTCTCATACACCCTGATTATATCAACTATAATGGAGCATTCTTGCGTTGTTGTTCGCAAATAGGAGGCTATCATCTGCAAAAAAATAGGTGAGAAGTTCTAGGAGCCGATCTGCATACTCTTGTGCCATGTAGCTTTTTCTCACGCGCTGATTTATTTAATAATTCTGAAAACGCATCAGCACATAAAATAAACAGATATGGAGAAATAGGATCTCCTTGCCTTAGCCCCCTGGTAGGCTTCACATTCCCATACACCTCTCCATTCACCTTAAAAGATAAAGAAACCGTTGAGATGCAGTTCATGATCCTACCTATCCAACCATTCGAAAACCCCAACTTTTCCATAACCCTCTGCAGAAAAACCCATTCAACTCTGTCGTAGGCTTTGCACATATCTAGTTTCAGAGCCACAGACCCCCATTTTCCTTCTCCCCCCCCCCCCTTTCATGGCATGAAAAGTTTCAAAAGCTATACTTTGATTTTGAGAAATAATGTCATCCAGAAATGGTTTAAGCCTATTTGCCATAGTTTTTTGATATGATTTTGTACATCACATTACAGCAACTAATAGGCCTGAAATCTTTCATATTTTTTGGTTCATTACATTTTGGGATTAATACAATGCACGTTTTATTCAACTCAGACAACTCCACAGTCCCATTCCACCAATCAATAACAGTAGCAATAATATCCTTCCCAACAATGTGCCAAAATTTCTGAAAAAATAAAGCATGTAAACCATCCGTACCTGGTGCCTTATTCGGATGCATTTGAAACAGTGCTCTTTTAATTTCATCCCTAGTAGGTGTAGCGTCTAGGGCCGAGTTCATCTCTTCAGTTATACGGTGTTCAAGACCATCAGTAACAGCATCCAGTTCCTCAGGGGACTCTGAAGAAAACAGGGAGCCAAAATAATTTTCAACTATCTGTTTTATGCGCTCCTCCTCTTCCTGCCATGCGCCCTCTGAGTCATATAAGCCACAAATTCTATTATTTGTTCGTCGCTGAGAAGCCTTCCGATGAAAATAGGATGTATTACGATCCCCATCACGCATCTCATTTGCCCTTGACCGAGTGAACCAATAGGTCTCTTCCTGTCTTCGAAATTCATCAACCTCCGCTGCTAAATTCTCGTAGGTTTCCAGCATGTGAGCGTCCATTGGTAAGGCTTGGGCAGCCCTGAGCTCCTCCTCTTTATTTTCCAGTCTCTTCTTACGATCCCCATAGGTCTTAAAAGCCCAGGCTTTCAGGCTTGCTGCACAGACGATAGCCCTTTTGTGAATAGGTCTATTAACTCCCATAGTCCAAGCATCCCTAACCACCAACTTGCATTCATCATTTGCCAGCCACATAGCCTCAAACCTGAACATATGCTTCTTCTTTTTCTCATTTCTTTGCGGCATTGTATCCAAGATAATAGGAGAGTGATCGCTAGAAATTCTTGCCAAGTGCCTCACCCCCGCCTCAGGGAATAATTCACACCTGCCCGTATCGCCCAAAAAACGATCCAATCTTTCCCTCACAGCCGTTGTGATGCTCTTGCCTCGTTGCCAGGTGAACGGACTTCCACTGTTACCAAGGTCGTGCAGGGAGCAATCATCAATGGTATCCTTAAACTCATTCATCGCGTTCTCTCTTCTAACAGCCCCGCCTTCTTTCTCACTCATACAGATAATTTCATTGAAGTCTCCAAACATGAGACAAGGAACTTCGCAAGAACTTCTCATATTCCTCATCAAATTCCAAGTCTTATGCTTATTCTCACCCTCGGGCCATCCATAAATTTCGATAGCTCTCCACATTGTGATTCCCTGATTATCCTTTATATCCACAGCAAAGTGATTATTTGAAAAAGAAACAACAGCTACATCTACACCCTTCCACCACAAACTAATGCCCCCTGCTCTTCCTGTACCACTTCTGCAAACTCCTTATGTAAACCCACACTTCTCCATTACCCTACACTTTTCACAACATTTGAAACCGCTTTTGTCTCCATGATGAAGACAATATTTGGCCTTTCCCTCCAGCATAAATCCCGGAGAGCACTTACCGTCTTCGGGTTGCCAATCTCGAAAACGTTCCAACTTAAAATTTTCATTGTCTTTCGAGGGGTTGGGGATTGCCAACATCCTCTACTTGAATATCACTGTTCCCAGTCTCATCAGTCATAGTAAATCTCCGCCTCTTCTCCCCCACACCCTCAACTATACGCTCTTCCTCATCAATATCCCCCTCCAAAACCCTTTTGCTATTTGATAACAGAGCCCCCTCACCATGAATTATCGAAGAGTTCTGTTTATAGCCCACCTCCATCCTTTCTACCCTTTTCCAGCCCCTACATTTTTTATTCGGCATACTCCTCTCCCCCCCCCCAGAAACACCCACCGCCTCATATATGATTTGGCTATCCCCCACCCCAGGCAATCCCATCTCCCCCTTATCTCCCCCCTCGTTGCAACCCCTATTTGCACATGAACTATCACCTTTGGTAACATCATACACCTCCTGCCAAGCGCCTATTTGTCCAGGCTCACAAATAGTTGGGTTGGTCCCTGCCTCTCTATTGCTCGATACCTCCTCGCCACTTATCTCATCTTCACCCATTGATTTATTTACAGGTTTTGGTCGAAACACCATTTGATTTATATTTTTTTCTAGAGTAGGCAGTAGCCTAACTTCTCTCTCCTTACCGCCTCTACCCTCCTGAGAACCCTCCCTCCCCTTCATAGTCATTTGCTTCGGCTTTGTGGTGAATAACAGGGCTTTTGCAGCACGGAGTCTGTCATTTTCCTCTTTTTCGATGGAGGTGCCTTTACGAGGAGAAGCCTTAAGCCAGAGTCTCCATTGTTTTTCTACTTCTTCTCCCTCATCATCCACCACAGCACAGTCTCGTTTCAAATGCCCAAGTAAGAAAGCAGAAAATCGGAAGCCTCTCATACTTTATGTGAACAGTTGTAGTTAAGCCATCCCTGCATCGAATTTGTTGCATTCTTCTCAGAGCCTTTGTTGTATCCACCAGAACCCTCACCCTCCTAGAATTATCCCACCCCAACACATCATCCTCTACTTCCAGCACCATCCCTAAGTTATTTTCCCAGCAATCAATCGCACATTCGCATTCGACCTGCTATCAAAAGGGAGATTGTATAGTCTCAACCAAAAGGGGCAAAATTTAATCTCCACGTTTTCGGGTTGCTCATTTCGCTGTATTTCTTTTAACAATATCAGATGATTATCAAAAGTCCACGGAGCACCATCAATGACCTTCTCCTTATCTCTCCAATGAAAGAATTGTACAACGAATAGGTTTTTTTTTTGGTTCGTCAAAAAATCACACCTTTATTTAGAGCCCAAATTTGCGTGAGATTTTTTTGCATGGCCTCAAAGTTATATGCTCTAATTTAATTGTCAATAATTTTCCCACCAAAGATAATTCAATACAGCCCTTCGAATCACTATTCTCCGCGTCACATAATTCCGCAACATCACCTTCTTCCTCCGTAATCTTCAATTTTGCCCATTGTTCACTTAGCTCTTCTGCCATCACCAAAACATCCAAGAAAAAAACCAAGAAAAAAGGAGACGACCAAAGAAAAAACACGACACGATAACCTAAACCACCCCTTGCAAGGAGGACGACCACTTGATTATAATCAAGACCAAAGACTCAATACATCGGACGTAGGATTTATACTACATTAATACCAAAATTACTTTTTGATATGAATATTACATATATTAGAAAGGTGTTTTGGTTGTTAAAAAGCAAAAAAAAAAAAAAAAAAAAAAAAAAAAAAAAAAAAAAAAGGTGTTAGACTGTTTAGTCCAATTTCCTCTTAACTTTCAAGTGTGAGATGCGAGGTCGAGTTTCATCAAGTTTATTATATTAGCATAACACTGATGAGGCCGGCCGTGCTAGCTAATTAATGTCCAAAACATAAAATTAAAGACACAAACTTATAATTATAACATAAAAATCAATATATTTTGCTACTTAATTGCAGGAGACCTATGTTTTATTATTATTATTCTTATACATGTATAAAATTAGTGGTCCTAATATTAGTAACAAAAGCTTAGAACAGTATGTATAATTAAAACAGTTTGTACATAAATTTATTATATATACTATAATTGTAAGTGGATGGAATACTCCCTTGAGGAGGCCGTGTGTATTATTCACAATATATATAAGCTACAATACAAAACCCTAGTTTACATAAATACATAAACTAATTATAGAAAATATTATTTACAAATATTGTCTAACACGCGCCCTCAGTTTGAGGGGGAGAAGGACGGATGCTCAAACTGGATCGGAACTCAACAAATAGCGGTGTGGGAAGCCCCTTGGTGAAAATATCGACATACTGTTATGAAGATGGGACATGAAGCACACGAATATGACCAAGGGCAACCTTTTCATGAACAAAATGAATGTCCAACTCCACATGTTTCGTTCGCTGATGATTAACCGGATTATGAGACATATACACCGCACTGACATTATCACAGTAGACAATTGTAGCCTTAGGTAAAGGACAATGCAACTCCAACAACAAATTCCGTAACCAAGCAGTCTCGGCCACCACATTAGCCACCCCCCGATACTCGGCCTCGGCACTCGAGCGGGAGAGAGTAGACTGACGTTTAGAGGACCAAGAAATCAAATTGTCCCCAAGAAACACACAATACCCGGAAGTGGAGCGACGTGTGTCCGGACAACCACCCCAATCAGCATCAAATTAAGTAATCAGACCAGAAGCAGATGTGGAATAAAGGTGCATACCAAAATCAAGTGTCCCTTGTAAGTACCGAAGAACACGTTTCATGGCATTGAAATGAGGGTCCCTGGGATCATGCATAAATAAACATAGTTGTTGAACCGCATAAGAAATATCAGGCCAGGTGAAAGTCAAATACGGGAGAGCACCCACAAGTTGCCGATAAAAAGACGAGTGGTTTCCCCGAAGTAGCACAAAGTTTAGACTTAGTATCAACCGGAGTAGAAGCAGGTTTACAAGAAGACATATGAGCCCGGTGCAGAATTTCCTGAGCATACTTTCGTTGAGACAGAAACATTCGATCCTTAGACTGACATACAGAAATACCCAGAAAATCAGATAAAGGACCAAGATCCTTCATAGCAAACTCCGAACTAAGAAGTGAAATAATACGGTGTCGGAGAGCATGAGATGAACAGGTGAGTATAATATCATCAACATATAATAACAGAAAAGCAGTGTCTGTACCTCATCGGAAGATAAACAATGATGTATCACTTTTGCTGTTAACAAAACCCAAAGAAAGAATGTAAGTTGCAAAACGCTGATACCAGGCCCTGGGTGCCTGTTTAAGGCCATAAATAGACTTCCAGAGAAGACAAACATGTTTACGCTTGTCGGGATCAACAAACCCATATGGCTGATGCATGTTATACTGTTTCCTGTAAATGACCATGAAGAAAGGCATTTTTCACATCTAGCTGGTGAATAGACCACTGTTTGGAAAAAGCCAGACTGAGAACCGTGCGAATAGTAGCCGGTTTCACCACCGGACTAAAAGTCTCACCACAATCAACACCAATTTCCTGACTCTTGCCATTAGCAACCAACCTAGCTTTGTGTCTCTCAAACTCACCATTAGATCTCTCCTTATGGGTAATGACCCACAAACACCAAATCACATTCACATTATTCGGTCTCGGAACCAAGTCCCAAGTATGAGTAGCAATCATGGCATTATATTCATCACACATAGCACTATACCAGTTAGGATCTTGAATGGCTTTGACCGGAGAACGAGGTAACGGAGATTTCTGAGGAGTAGACAAAGTAGCTAGAGCCACATTAGCATACTTCGAATTGGGCTTAAAAATCCCGGACTTAGAGCGGGTGTTCATGAAGTGAGAAGGCTGGACGACACATGGGCTAGAAGGAAGAGCTAGAAGAAGTTGGGGAAGGGTGAATTGGTGCAGTGGGCTGTTGTGGAGAGGAAGGAGATCTTGGAGGATTGGTGGGCTGACCTGGCGAAGAAGGCCTAGCAGTAAGAGAAGGAGAGGAAACGTGAAGAGTGGGGAGAGAAGTGGGCTGACTTGGAGAAGAGGAGCCCACGTGAGAAGCTGGCCCAACATCAGAGAGAAGGTGTTGGTGTGTGGGCTGGGCCGAAGAGCTAAAGTGGATCAACAGAGGAGGAGAGTGTGTGGGTTCTTTAGAAAGCAGAAAATCAAAATCGAAGGGTTGTGGAGTATAATTTGAGGAATTCGGAAATGCTCATTCATCAAAAACCACGTGTCGAGAAATAATGATTTTCTTAGTTTGAATGTCTAGGCACCGATACCCCCGATGAGAGAGAGGGTATCCAAGAAAAATACATGGAGTAGAACGGGGACTCATTTTGTTGGACGCGGTGGCTGAGACATTCGGATAACAAAGACAACCAAACGTACGAATATGATCGTACGTCGGGGCTCTATTATAGAGTATATGAACATGAGTGAGATTACCTAACAATCGAGTGGGGCGAATGTTAAGTAGGTAAGAGGCCGTGTGTAAAGACTCAACCCAATAAGAAGAAGGAAAGGATGCATGAAATAAAAGAGAAAGACATACATTATTAATAGTACGAATCATACGTTCCGCCTTCCCATTTTGAGGGGAAGTATGAGGGCACGAATGACGCCAAATCATGCCATGGGAAAGAGAGAATAAAGTAAAACTGTCATTATCATACTCACGCCTGTTGTCACATTGTAAGACCTTAATTAATGAAACAACCAAACTGAGTTTGAACATACTTATGAAAACGCACAAAAGTATCGTAGACAGCAGTTTTGGATTTTAATGGAAAAACCCACAAATAATGAGAATAATCATCCAGGAAGAGCAAATAACAGCGAAAACCCGTATGACTATTAATAGGATAAGTGAACAAATCAGTATGTATAATATCAAACGGAGCAGAAGTTCTAGTGGTAGAATCTGAAAAAGGAAGCCGACAATGCTTTCCCAACTGACAAACATGAAGGCTAGGTCCTTTATTACAATCAATTATTTTATTACTCCTAAGAAAACTAAGCACATGATCACCGGGATGACCCAATCGGTTGTGCCAAACATCAGAAGAAAGAGCAGCAAAAGCAGACGAAGATGAAGCTTTTTTTGAGATGAGAGGGTAGAGATTCCTGACACTATTGCACCTCGTCAGCATTTTCCCCGTCCGGAGATCCTTCACAGAAAAACCAAAAGGGTCAAATTCGACGGATACATTATTATCGGATGTGAATTTTCGGACGGACACAAGATTTTTAACGATATTAGGAGTATATAAAATATTTTTGAGAGTAAACGGGGCAAAAGGTTTAGGTAAAGCCGTAGTCCCACAACCCCTAATTGGTATTCTAGTGCCATCACCAACCATAATATGTGAATTATAAGAATGCCAATTAACAAATGGGAAAGCAATACCTGAACCATTCATGAGATGGGACGTTGCACCTGTATCCATATACCAGTTATTGTCCGGAGGTTGAAGTTGCATAGTGTTGAACATTGCAGGCAAGTCAGTGGGTTGGAAGTTGTGTCCCGGAGCCAAGAAAGCCGCATTTGCATTGCCTTGCTGTGGTGCTTGACCAAGAACACCTTGCTGACTAGGAGGAACCGAAGGCCGGTGCCCGTAGCCACCACGCCACGGAACCGGAGCAGAGGGGAATGGACATGGTGGATAAAAGGCAGACCATGGTCCAGCCCAAGGTGGGTAGAAACCGGACTGCGGTTGGGTTGCTGGGCTTGCTGTCCACTCGGTTTATTCCCCCCCTTTGAGGTGCCTTGTTTCTTTTTCTTGCTACCCTTGGACTGTCCCACTACCGAAGTCTGGCCACCAGCTCCTACAGAAATACCTAACGAACCACTAGAAGAGGCTGCCGTAGCTACGTACAAGAGCAGTCGAGGGAGAAGATAAATATGAGTCCTCTTGGTTCTTTTCGCGGCTAACCCGATCGAGCTCAGGCATGGAGCATGCTTTGGACGGAGAAAGAAGGCAGAGGGGAAGCTTGTTGAATTAAGGTTGCAACCATGGCGTAATCCGACGTCAATTTACCGGCCAATTGGAGAACTAAGCGTTCCTCCGAAATCGGATGACCCAACGCCGTTAATTGATCAGAAATAGCCTTCAAGCGTTGACAATTATCTGCCAAAGAAGAACAATTCTCCAATTTGATCATACCAAATTGGTTTTCCAGATGAACAACTCGAGTACCCTCATTATCTTGAAAAAGGTCACGTAATTTACCCCAAGCCACCATAGACGTGGCCTTTTCATCAAGAATTCGGTACAAAAGATCGGTGTGAATAGTCCCGTATATCCATTGAAGGACCACAACATCAAGACGGTCCCACAACCCATCCTCGACGTCCGGTGGTCGACTGACCGTGGAATCAATGTGATCGAGGATAGGGTATACCTTAGCGGTATTTCGGAACAACGTAGCCCATGGAGAAAACTGGACTTTGTCACCATCAAGAACCAACGGTATAAGACTCCCAATGTTGGTGACGTTCAAGGCCGGATGATATGCGTTGATAAGAGAGGTCTTGACATTGTCATCTCCTCCAACCATGATGAAAGAAGAAGAGTATTGAAGAAGAAGAGCAGCGGAAGAGGATCGAAGAAAGAGATGGCTAGGGTTTGGCGTGATACCATGTAAGTGGATGGAATACTCCCTTGAGGAGGCCGTGTGTATTATTCACAATATATATAAGCTACAATACAAAACCCTAGTTTACATAAATACATAAACTAATTATAGAAAATATTATTTACAAATATTGTCTAACAATAATGAGTACTCAATATGTACTAGTAGGTCTAGTACATTGAATATAATACATAAATAAGATAGATGAAGATGTAAATAATATAGAATAATTTATTATGTACTTTTTTGTTTTCATTAATTGTTTTTGATCTACACACTTAATTATGTATGGATAAGGATCAAGCTAAGTATTTAATTTGGATCCTTCTTTAATATATGTGTATAATATCAAAATTTTTGCCTAATTAAAAGTAAAATACACTTTTTCAACAGGACATGATCTGATCTAACTTCGTATCCTTGTACCCACATGCAAAAGGAATCGTAACATATAATTAAATAGTTTTATATTTACATGACATCATCCAATAATAATTCATAATTTACATAAATTTATGGATTGTGTTTTGTTGATTTAGAGTACAGGGTCCAAGTTCTTTCTTCTTGAAGTAATAAAATTAATAAGTACTTAGTGTAAAAAATAACTACTAACTAAATTTAGATGAAATCTTTTGGTAAACCTAATCTTTTTCTTTGGCTTCTTTTGTGGACTCAATAATATGGACAATATGGGTGAAAGTTCGGTTTTCGGTTCGGTTTTCTGCCCAAACCGAAACCGAACCACCATATTTCGGTTTCTTGATTTTGCAAACCACACCGCACCACTTTAGCTTAGAAACCGAACCAAACCAAACCACTTAAATTTCGGTTTTTTTAAAAAAAACCAAACCGCACCGAATTTTCACATCAAGCATCATAAACATCAAATTTTGTAAAAAAAACCGAACCAAACCAAACAAATTAAACCGAACCAAACAAAACCAATCTATACAAACATAATTAAATAAGCTGGCCCGAAATTTGGAGGTTATTTTTCCATATTTAAAAGTTAATTAAAAAAAAAAAAAAAAAAAAAAGCCAAATTTATAAACAATAGATCTACAGAAATTTAGTAAAATAAAAGTAATACAACTATGATAATTAATAAATTCTATGGATTACAACACTAAAATCTACAAGAATACTACAATTTCGGTGAGAGATCATGCAAAAACACATCTTGTTCTTCCCAATCGACCGTAGTTCATATATATTCCCAATTTTCTCTTCGTTCTTAAGCTGCTACTATAATTCCTTTACAAAAAATCAAAAATTTTCTTCTTCAAATTTGGGTATGAAATCTTGATTATAGAAAATTAACAAATGACTTTCACCCAACTTGTTCTTCAAGGTAAACCCACTGCCAAGGAAGCGTAAGCCAAAACTGACTACAACAAGGAGACCAACTGCTCCAAATCCCAGACATGAAACAAAGGCGAAGGGCAAGGCATTTTTCCTCCCCACCACCTAATACCTAGAGTCTAACCCAAAATTACTTCCCCTTACCACTTCAAGATTGGACAAGCCCACCATGGCCATCCAACCAGAAACCAAATAGGGACACATTAGAAGCAAAAAAAAAAAACAATCCAACAAAACCAAAAGGGGAGACATCCAACCTCGCAACAGAAACTTAAACTCAAAACTAAGGGCTTGTTTGACATCGTTTTTTGTTTTTAGATTTCTTTTTTTTTTTTTAAAAAAAACAAAAAACCAAAAACAGAAAACAAGAAAAAGGTGTTTTCACTTTTCTGTTGTCACTTTAAAATTATAATGATTTTAATAAGTTTAACTAATCTTTGCTTCATTATATGACATATATTATATGAGTTTGAAAAACAAAAAACCAAAAAATAGAAAACCACATCAATGCCAAACGACCCAAACATACTAGCTTCAAAATAAGAAGAACTAAGGAGAACGAAGACTTACAGAGCCAACTCCAGAGCAATTTCGAAATTCGCCAAAACCAAAGAAGATAACCAGAACAGAGAATTTCAAAACTGAGCGCAACAAATCTACGAAACCCTAACCCTAACTTCACCAAACACCGTCGCGATTTCCTTTTTTCCGGCAACCCCCTGACGGTGGCGTTAGAGTTTGCCCAAAACCCCTAAAATCATCAATTTCGTCCCCTGAACACACAAATCTGAACCTAGATCCTTCTTCTAAGCGGCGAGAATTCCCGGTGGAACAAGGCTTCCTTATCTCCTTATCTATCGGGAAACCGACGGTAACAATTAACCTTTCCGGTGAGAAGAGGGTAGCACTAAACGGAGTTCGAAGCTCTTCATGGAGCTTGGTTACGCTTCAACTTCACCAAACTGGAACACGAGTAGTAGAATACTTGAAAAAAAGGAAAGGGAACTCGCCGGAGAACCGGCGCGGCGCTGGAACTCTGGTGAGTTCTAGGTTTCAAATGGGGTTTTTTGTGTGAAAGGAGGAGAGAGAACAGAGCGTTTTTTGGTTTTTTTTTCCTGTATGCCTGTATGTGGTTGTGTACATTGTAGTATTCACGTTTGTCATGCACATGTTGTATAAGTTTGCCAATTCACATTTAGTTTAGAAAAAAAGAAACAAAAAAGTATTAATATTTATTTAAATTAGTTAATTCGATTTTATGCCTTTTTTGGGTGTGTTTTTACCCCTCTCGATTATGATCTTCTTTTGATTTTATTTTATTTTGCTTTATATATATGTATAAATGATTATTTTAATCGATTCTTAGCTTAGATTTATATGGAATACTTTGCTTAAAGCTTTAAAGAGTACTAGTAGAGTAACGTAGTAGTAGTGAGATTTTATCTACATATATACGAAGTATTTTGCAAGCTTAAAGGATACTTCTAATGTTTTTAAAAAGGCCGGAATATGAATATATGTCTTAGAACATAGAGTGTTTGGCCACCCTAATAAAACATTCTAGCTTCGCCACTAGACTTGATTGATATAGTATGAGAAGTATATAATATGAGAAGTTAAGTCTGTTGCTTCTTTCATCAAGATCTAGTTTGGTGATGTGTAAAGTATGCTTTTGGAGTTTTGGATATGGTGTGAGACTTAGGTTTAATTTGTAAATGAGACTTATTAATCCATCTACAAAATCTTTGAATGAATTAAAAGGATTAGAGAGAAGACTTTTGAGTTTGGTAGCCCTAAAAGTGATGAAGGCTATTATTCATACATGATTAATGGCTACTAGTAGCTAGCTATAGTTGTTTTACTAGGTTGTTGTATAAAAATGATGACTAGGCATACCTTTTCCTAAGTTTGACTAGAAAGAGCTTCTAACAAGGCCATGTTGTTGATTCACCCATATATATAAAAAAAAAAAAGGCCATGTTGTGTTCGCCACTTATTTCAAGAAAAATAACTTCGAATAAGATACGTACTTCTAGGAAAATTAAGTTCAAATAAGTTTAATTCACAATACACTAATAAGATCTAATTAATAATTCAGATAAGTTCAAATTAGTTCTAATAAATTTGGGTAATTAAGTTCAAATAAGTTAAATGTACAAAGGATTAATTTGCATATATTGAAAGAGATAATAAAGAAACATATTAACTTAAAACTTATTATTACATGAGATAATAAAGAAACTTATTATCTCATGTAATAATAAGTTTTAAGTTTTAAGCTAATATGTTTCTTTATTATCTCTTCCGCAAGAGGGTTGCTACCCTCCAACTTATTATTAGCTTAAAACTTATTATCATTAAGGCATATAGATAGGTTTCGACGAGTGCTTGATGGCACAGAGCTCTGTCGCCTATATATAGGTTTCGGCTTCCATCAGCGCCTCTTGGAGGGTAGCAACCCTCTTGCGGACCAGGTCGAACTTAAAGGTCGACCCGTCCTTCAGACCCTTGAAGAAGTCTGTGTATGCAACTTTGTCAGACAGCCCCTGAATCTGAATTCTCATCAGATTGAACCTCCTGACATAAGACCGTAGTCCCTCTTTATCTCCCTGCTGAATAGCCCCTAGGTCGAGACTTGTCTTTTTGGCAGGGATGTTCATGGAGAAGTTGGACGCAAACAGGTATGCAAGCGTCTTAAAATTGTTGATGCACCCGGCTGGCAGGTTGCCAAACCATCGTTGGGCTATGCCCTTCAATGTTGCCGGGAAGCATCGGCACCAGGCGACGTCTTCCAACCCTTGTAGGTACATGAGGTTGGTGTAAGCCATTAGGTGGTCTTCCGGGTTGGTGGTACCGTCGTAGGTACCGACCAACACATTCTTAACCTTAGCCGGATGAGCCGCCTCGGTTATCTCCCTGGAGAACGCCGACGGCTGTTCCCCAAGGTTTAGCAGCCGGAGCTGCCAGTCCATGGGCTGGACCTACTGTGCCGCCGGGCTCCCGAAGAGGGCCTGCATGTATGGTGATCCATACGGCATGTATGGCTGTTGGGGCACATACGAAACCGGCTAGATGATCTGAGGGCCAGTACGTGCGGACATGCCGCGTGACTGACTCTCTTGGTTTGTCTCCGAATACTTCATTGAAGTATTACGGAAACTGTCTGGGAAAGTCGACGTTGAGGCCGACTCAGACATTTATTCACTTCTCTTCTCCTGGATGAACATCCGGGCATCAGAGTAAGTCTTTTTTGACCCATCCGGCTGAACTTGCCAGATGGCCTTCCTTTGCCCTGATTCAGGGAAACGAAGTTTGGAGAGGTCGATCAGGGGCCCATCCGTCCCCTTTGGTTTAGGGTGAGGAGTAGGCACCCGGTCTTTGAGGTGCTTCTTCTCGAAGGGAGAAGGCTTCTTTGCCGACTGACCCTTGTTTGAGCCAGTTGACTTCTTGATTATGTCCTTGATTTCCCCCTTGAAACTCGTCATGAATTTCATGAGCTCGTCTCTGGTGACGAGGGTTGTGCCCTCCGCCGCCTTGGGTTGCCTAGTAGGCTTGCCGGC